CTACCACCGGTTGTGTGTTGGAGAGCCAAGCTGGCTGTGTCGGGTGGTGGCGGGTTTTAGCGACACATTTAGATATTTACGCGATCTAACCCAAGACCACCTCTATTACGGATGATATTGGTCGCGAAAGCCTGCTGCGTGTTAAACTGTTTGACCATACTTCACCACTCTGGCCAGTGTGGATTTGTCAATTAGTGATAGGCAGTGCCGGATTAAGCTAGTGCGGGGCCTGTAGCAGATGTTATAAAGGGGCCCTAAAAAAAACATTCATATTAAAACACAATTTTTTTTACCTGCATTATAAAGTTATTGTATTGTTGCATTTGCTATACAGCCAGTTATACGACAAATCGCTAACCTTAAACACCCAGTCGTTCATAAAAGTTGAAGGCGGTATAGTACTATAGTAATAGAGCAAGTGCAGAATCACTGAACCGGAATTGATAGGTGGAAAGGATTTAGCGCGGGGCCCTTGAAAATGCGGGGCCCATAGCATTTGTAGCTACTTTGCTACTAAGATAATCCGGCACTGGTGATAGGGCTGGGGGGGGGTGCATAACCGATCCACAGATGCCACTCACCTCGCTGATCTGAGCCGTGAAGGCGAAGTCGAACTGTGGTGGCTGCCTCCTTTTTAATTGCGCGGTGCTGAGAACCACAAAGCGCACAACGCGCCGCTCAAATTGTTCACGGTGTAGGAGCGCCCTCTGGTGAGCTGTTTTGTGTAGTGCCGGGCGCCGTCCACAACGACGGCGGTCAGTCAACTCGAAGGGGATCTCAGACGTCGTTCCGTCACTTCTGCCTCCACGGGCCGTTCTCTAACGCTTCGTTGATGCGCGGGTCGCCGTGGCCGTGAAATTCAATTGATGTGGCCGGTTTCATCTCGCAGTGCGCTAACTGCTGCGCCACCGCTCCCTCCTTCCAGCGATGAGTGTCCTCTGGTGGCTCTTACACTGGACAGCAGTCACAATAAACTTCAAAAACGTAACTTTTATTTTTTATTTTAGCAAATAAAGACCACTGAGCTATGCAGCTATTTTTCAGAAGCGACCTGACTATCACAAATGATAGCTCAACGAAGTGGCTTATCACGTGAAAATGTACAGCAGCCCAATACTCTAAACGCGTGTTTTATAAATGTGGGGGGGGGGGGGGACCGGAGGAACCAGAGAAAAATCTACGCTACCACCTAGAGAGAGAGAGACACGCAAACCCCAAATATACAGCGGCAGCGGGCGTCAGGGTCGGGATCTAACCCACGACCTCCTGTACACCGGGCGAGGTAGTTAACATCTCCTAGCCACCGTGATGATGATGATGAGACACAAACCCCAAATATACAGCAGCAACAGCCGTCAGGCTCGGGATCGAACCCACGACCTCCTGTACACCAGGCGAGGTAGTTAACATCTCCTAACCACCGCGGCGCCCCTACAATGATGAGAGCTTCACCCGGATTAGTGCGTTCAGATGGCTGGACGGGACGTGCGATGAGAACAGCCGATGAGAGATCAGGGCCGCAATTATCTCCGGAGTGGGAACACCGCACCTCGGTCGGCTACTTACGGTGCGAATGACGTTCCGCACACGCAACACAAACACAACGAGACAGAGAGAGAGAGAAGGGAAGAGAAGGAGATGCGGACATCGCAAGCGATGGCAGAGACGACGTCAAAGAAATGTGGAGGCCACCACCGGACAGACACGAGCGGGGAAAGGGAGGAATGGAAGGGAAATGGGAGAGGGCCTTTTCCCAGCCGTGGGAAGTTACCGGCCGACAACACCAACAACATTCTGAGCATTAATTGCGTAGATTATTTCAAAAGTGCACCATTAAATGAAAGCACTGCACATTTACGTGATCTATTCTGCGTTAACACCATCGCCCCGGCGCGTTAAGGAATTACCCCACACTGAGCCTCGCCCTTTAGGATAGAGTAATTGGTTTAATTTGAGAAATAAATCGTAATCGCCGGGAAGTTTTCCTCCCACAAGCCAGAGTCAAAGTCTGCCGTGATTCAGAGAGCAGTGGAGATTATTCAGTTGTGCGCTTCAGTCGAGCCCTTTATTTACAACCGGGGTAAGAGCTCAGAGACACCGCTCCTACTCACCTACTCGCACTCACCAGCACGGTGAGGTGACGGTGAAGCCCCTTCGCCCGGCGGTGGACTGACCCCGCGCTCGGAATCTCCCTCGTGTCCACTCGCTGTTGCCAAACCAACGAGCCTGGGTTAGCTTAGAGGAGATCTGCGATGGAAAGAAGTGCGGAATACAATCAATCTTGTCGCAGCCCTTGACGACGACGACGATGATGATGATGGCGTCAAATGTTGGACCATCAGAGTCATCAGTAGTGTGTCTGGCCTGCTCAACAAAACAACGCCCGTGTCGAAAACCCGCAGACACCAACCACGACGCCTCCATCCTCGCCTTGCGATCCACACTCTTTTGTTCGATATTTTTTCTTTCACTTTTCTCTCCTGTGGTTCATCCCGACGCCGCAGTCGGCCGCGTGCCACGAGACGAGACAACCCGTTGGTATCTCGGTGCACGCCTTCGTGATGAGCGAATGGCCCGCGGAAGTGGCTCTCGCAGAACTGCATCTGAGGCCCCTTCCAATGAACTCCGTTCACCTTTGTGGCAAGTCGTAAAGCAGGGCACACCGCGGGTAGGGACACGTTGAAGTAATCCCGACGCTGTTGCTGGTGGTCAAACGCTAAATCCTCGTGTGACTAAACGCAGTGCCCGGGCCGTGTGAGTGGTGGGGCGGCCTGGGCCTGCGGGGCGTGCCCAGGTGTGTTGATAGCCCGGGTGTGGTGCGTGCCCAGGTGTATTGATAGCCCGGGTGTGGTGCGTGCCCAGGTGTGGTGCGTGCCCAGGTGTGGGCGTGCCCAGGTGTGGGCGTGCCCAGGTGTGGGCGTGCCCAGGTGTGGGCGTGCCCAGGTGTGGTGCGTGCCCAGGTGTGGGGCGTGCCCAGGTGTGGTGCGTGCCCAGGTGTGGGCGTGCCCAGGTGTGGTGCGTGCCCAGGTGTGGGCGTGCCCAGGTGTGGGCGTGCCCAGGTGTGGGCGTGCCCAGGTGTGGGCGTGCCCAGGTGTGGGCGTGCCCAGGTGTGGGCGTGCCCAGGTGTGGGCGTGCCCAGGTGTGGGCGTGCCCAGGTGTGGGCGTGCCCAGGTGTGGGCGTGCCCAGGTGTGTCTTTGAAGGCAGCTGCCCCGGGTAGCAGGAGGACACTCTGCAGTTCGGTCCTCGGAGTGAGACGCGGCGACCTCCAACTCCGACTTTTAGCCAGCGCAGCACACGGGGTGAGCAGAGTGGGGTGAGCAGAGTTGACTTTGTGTAGCCAGGTGAGGGATTTGCGAGATTGGCCTGGGTCACCAACATGACAGAAGCAAGAACATTTAAACAATAACAAAATACAAAGTACTGCATAGCAATGCAGCAGATAAAAATCAGCGCAAAACTAACTGCCTTACGGTTACAAAAAAGTTATTGATAATTTACTGTAGCTTGAGTTGGCTCGGGAAACGACTTGGCTCGCAGACACACGATGAACGCTTCCAGGGCAGCACTACAACAACAACATCAACAAGAACAACAACCAGATGGGTTTTTTTTCAGGTTCGCCATCTGACGGGGCTGCCTCTGGGCTCCGAGTTGGAGGGCAGCAACATGGAGGAGACTTGTGAAGAAGAGGCGAAGAGAGCGCAAGACCAAATCCAGCAGATCCAGAAGGAGCTGCTCAAGGTCGTGAGGTCCTTCATCGAGGAGGAAGGTACGAGCGGGGGGGCTGCGGTGAATCCGGGCGAGGAGGGGGTGATTGCCCCCCCCCCTCCTCCTTGAAACCCTTGTGGGATTCTCACCTGTTTGTCACATGTGTAGCGCTCACCTGTGTCTCTCACCTGTCCATCGTTTGTGTCTCTCACGTACGTGTCTCTCACCTGTGTCTCTCCATTGTCTCTCACCTGCGTGTCTCTCACGTGCGTGTCTCTCACCTGTCTCTCCATTGTCTCTCACCTGCGTGTCCCTCACCTCTCACCTGCGTCTCTCCATTGTCTCTCACGTGCGTGTCTCTCACCTGTCTCTCCATTGTCTCTCACCTGCGTGTCTCTCACCTGTGTCTCTCCATTGTCTCACCTGCGTGTCTCTCACCTGTCTCTCCATTGTCTCTCACCTGCGTGTCTCTCACCTGTGTCTCTCCATTGTCTCTCACCTGCGTGTCTCTCACCTGCGTGTCTCTCACCTGTGTCTAACCAGTTACTCTCACCTGTATGCCTCTCCCTCGCGTGTCTCTCACCTGTGCATTGCTCACCCGCGCCTTACCTGTCTCTCACCTGTCCCTCGCCTGTGTCTCTCTCACTCGCTCGCGTGCCTCACCTCAGCCGTGTCAGTGCCTCACCTGTGTGGGCCTTCTCCCCCGGCCCCCCGTCGCCGCCCCAGACGGCCCCTACAGGTGGCAAAACACGTACCGCGGGCTGGGCAAGGCCCCCGAGTTCTCGGCGATGCCGGGCCACGCCGAGACGCCCGCGTCTGCCGACATGCTGAGCCCGGCCAAGATCGCTCGTCTCACGGAGCGGGCCTTCGAGTTCCTCTTCGCACAGGCAAATAACGATGTCAATCACAATATCAACAGTCACAACATAATTTAAACTCGTAACGCGCCGCGCGGTGCTCGCTCGCTCGCTCGCTCGATCGTACCAGGCAATTGCCCGAGATCTGTGGTCCTCTATGTATGAAGATGTTATCGGCCAATGAATAAGTGTGTTCACAAGTGCGAGGGAGCGAGCCTCGTTCATCGTTTATTTTGGCTCGCTTTCAGATGCGCTGCTTCTGCGGCCGTCCGGAACGCTCTTCCTCCCGATATGAGGAAGCCACTGCAACTATGCACTTTGAAATCATCGTCATCTAGATTGACAAACTCATTTCTTTAGAACAGTTTGTTTTATGTGCGTGTGTTTAGTTTGTTGTCCTTCCCCCACTCCACCCATGAGCGCGATTGGCAACGTGCGGCGTGAAAGAAGTTCACATCCACGTCCGTGGCCGGCGGCGACTGTTGTGTTGGCAGGCGGGTTTGGCCAAACGCTACGAGAGCAGCCCGGACAGGATGGCCTCGTTCTTCCACGGCCATCTCAAGGCGCCCGAGTCGATCATCAAGTCGTGGAAGGACGACGCCGCCTTCTGCCGGCAGTTCACGCAGGGTAAGGGCGCGGCACTGCGGCGGGGTAAAGGCGCAGCCCCGCAATGTCCTCGCCTCAAGCCAAGGCTGGCGGAAAGGCCCCGCACCGGAGGGAAACTCTTAGCGAGCACCTCGAAAGATATACACCTTGTCTTACGCTTCCGTACACAAACGAATTGAGGTAAATAAGTGCATGGAATTAAGGGGCCGTCCATAAATGACGTCACGCGATTTTGGACGATTTTTGACCCCCCCCCCCTCGTCACACGGCGTCACAAAAAGTCAGACCCCCCCTCAAATATGACGTCACAAAGCTCTGCCCCCCACCCCCCAAAACCATATTTCCATTTTGAAAATAAAACATGCTTCAAATCGCTTTAAACTTTTGTCATTGTAGTGCGTATTTAATGTGGCGCTGCACTCTGATGTTGTAGGAGAAAACATTTATGAAAACCTCTATTTAATTAAGTAGAACGTGTTGTCTATATTTATTAAAAGTTGCGCATTTTGATGTGACGTCACATTTCTCACACCCCCCCCCCCCCTCTCGTCACACATCGTCACAAATATCTGACCCCACCCCCTAGGTGCGTGACGTCATATATGGACGGCCCCCTAATGTCAATTTGGCTGTCGCCAATGATCCCGTCGAGTTTCGTTCTTTCTGGCAATGTGTGTTGTACATGAGGCGACAATCAGTCGAGATGCACTCTGTCGTTGGAATTAATCTAAATTGACTGTGGTCAGGTTCAGTTAAATATGGGACGCCAGTAGCAGCAGCAGCTGCTGCATCTCGACGGGTTGCGGCCTGATGTACAACGCAACGTCGTCAAAAATAACGAAACTCCATGTGTCCGAGAATGTTTAAATAAGGGTCGACGAACACAGAGCAATGGGACGCGAATCGGATCTCGCGGGGGGGAGGAGAGTGGGAAGGTGGGAGACGTCATTCCCCGTCCCTCTGTTTTCCCCTGATGAATGATCACGACGACAATTGAACTTGTACCGCGCCGATTCGCAGTGAGCCGTCGCCAACAATTGTACAAGCTCTGTGGCCCTCTATCTATGAAGTTGTCATCGGCGAATCAATGAGCGTTTTATACGTGGGAGGAAACCACGCGTGCGAGGGGGAAACGCTCGATCCCCGTACAGACGGTGAGAGGTGAGATACACGAAGGTGAGAGACAGGTGAGAGTCAGGTGAGCACTGCACAGGTGAGAGACACGCGAGTGTACACGCAGGTGAGAGACACACAGGTGAGAGGCAGGTGAGAGACACACAGGTGAGACACAGGTGAGACATAGGTGAGAGACACACAAGTGAGAGACACACAGGTGAGAGACAGGTGAGAGACACACAGGTGAGACACAGGTGAGAGACACACAGGTGAGAGGCAGGTGAGAGACACAGGTGAGAGACACAGGTGAGAGACACACAGGTGAGATGCTGGTGAGAGACACAGGTGAGAGACACACAGGTGAGAGACAGGTGAGAGACACACAGGGGAAAGACACACAGGTGAAACGCAGGTGAGAGGCAGGTGAGAGACACACAGGTGAGAGACAGGTGAGAGACACACAGGTGAGAGGCAGGTGACACACAGGTGAGAGACAGGTGAGAGACACACAGGTGAGAGACACACAGGTGAGAGACAGGTGAGAGTCACACAGGGGAAAGACACACAGGTGAGACACAGGTGAGAGGCAGGTGAGAGACACACAGGTGAGAGGCAGGTGAGAGATACACAGGTGACACAGGTGAGACAGGTGAGAGACACACAGGTGAGAGACACCCAGTTGAGAGGCAGGTGAGAGACACACAGGTGAGAGATACACAGGTGAGAGAGACAGGTGAGACACACACAGGTAAGACACAGGTGAGAGACACATGTACTGCGTTCTCCTTGAAGGGCCAGGGTACGGCCCCTCTTGGGAGTTCGACAACACAGCGCTGGTTTACAGGCCACGTGCAGCAGCGAAGCCACCACACCCATGCCGTGCCCCCCCCCCCGCACCTCCCCCCCACCCCTGTCCCCCCAACTCAGGTCCAAACCCTATGATGATCAGCGTCTGCCGGAGTCTGCGGGAGGTGCCCTGGGAGATGCGAGGCCTGGCGGGACAGGGCTGCACGGTGCCACAGCTACTGGAGCAAGGTCGCCTCTTCATCGCCGACTACAAACAACTCGCAGGCGAGACACCGCCACGACTCAGCCCCCCTCCCCCCATACCCCCCTACTCCCCCCCCCCTCACGAACTGAAGGCCATTGGTACGAGGAGGGGGGGGGGGAGCAGTTTCAGCCTTGGGTCCTCAAGCCCTCTCCTCCTCACTTTCGAGGGCGGATTGCAGGACGCGGTCTCAGCTCTCATCCTGGAGCTCCGTGGTGACCTCTGGCGGATGCTGAGGCTCAGAGGCACTGACCGTGGTGCTGGCCTCGGCCAGCGGGAGCGTTTACACCGCTCCCTAAGACCAAACAAAGCCACCACGTGCTTCTCATTCAGCGCGAATGTTTATCAAGCCTGTGCACAGCTTACGGTCGCAAAGTACCAAAACACGGCAACACCGGGACACGATCTCGGCACACGAATACAGAGGCCAAATCCTGAACCGTCCGGGCCAAACCCAGACACGTGGCACGCCTCGCCTAGACGACCCTTGACTCGTCTGGACACTGGCCGGGCCCTAAGAGGCTCTCTGCCATGATCCGGGTGGCTCCAGGCCTCGAGTCCAAGACTTGGGAATTGTTGGGCAATTGTTGTTGGCAACCATCACCAACAATCGCCTCTTCATAGAGGGGCGATAATATAATCAGACGAGGTTTGCCACCAGGGCTAGACACGCCGGCGCCCGGGGCAATGTCCCCCCCCCCCCCACCCTGTCCCTCGCCACTCTTCTTCTCCCACGTGTTCGTCCCACTCGTGTGGGGTGTTCCGCTGTCCTTGCCAACCTTCTCCACGCTGCCCCGTCCTGCGCCATCTCTCTCTCTCTCCGCTCCTTGGGCCACCGTGGTCCGATCGCACCGCATCGCCCCCCCCCCCTCCCCCCACGTCTTCTTCTGCCCTCCTCTTGATCTCTGTCCTTCCGCTTACATCACTCGCCACCTTCTGACCCACATCGTTCTCCTGCCGTCTCTCCACACGACCGAACCACACCAGAGACTTTTCTCTCTCCCATCTTCTCCCGTGATGTCTACCACCTTGAGTCTTCCTTTCGCCTCTTCATTTTCTCACCCCTTGTCCTTCCTTGTTAAACCCCCAACATCCAACGCAACATCCTCGTCTCTGTGACTGCCACAGCCTGGTCCTCCCTCTTTCTCGTGCCCCAGCACTCGGCCCCCATACAACAGCACCGGCCTCACCACCGTCTTGTAACACTTTTCCCTTCACCACCGCCCCCCACCAAAACCCTCGAGCCACCAATCCTCCACCGCTCGCTTCCATCAGTTCAGGGGAGGGGTGCCCGGGGGCAGCCTCCCCACGTGTCCCGCCGCTCGCTCACGGCACTGCCGCCCCTGCCCTGCGATCCGCCGCCAGGGCTGCCCCTGCACAAGGACAAGAAGTTCTGCGCGCCCCTCGTGCTCATGTTCCGCGAGCTGCAGCCCGCGCTGGGAAGCAGCCGCCTCATGCCGCTCGGCATTCAGCTCACGCGACACGCAGGTACACGCTCCGCACAGGTGCACGCGACGCGCAGGTGCACGCGAGGCGCAGGTGCACGCGACGCGCAGGTGCACGCGAGGCGCAGGTGCACGCAACGCACAGGTGCACGCGACGCGCAGGTGCACGCGAGGCGCAGGTGCACGCAACGCACAGGTACACGCGACGCGCAGGTGCACGCGAGGCGCAGGTGCACGCAACGCACAGGTGCACGCGACGCGCAGGTGCACGCGAGGCGCAGGTGCACGCAACGCACAGGTGCACGCGACGCGCAGGTGCACGCGAGGCGCAGGTGCACGCAACGCACAGGTACACGTGAGGCACAGGTGCACGCGACGCGCAGGTGCACGTGAGGCACAGGTGCACGTGAGGCACAGGTGGGCACCGGTGCTCCGTGACGCCCGGCCGGCCAGGGGTTTTGTTCCTCCCTCGGTGCCTTGCCGGAGTGATCGCTGCTACAGAGCAGGCTTGCAGTCGTGATTATCGGTGTAAGGCACTACCACTAGACTGCAAGCCTACGAGATTGCAGACTATTCATGAAAAACAAATCCTTTATTACGTTTGTTTTTAATTACTGGTGGGGCGGCTGAAACCTGGATTCGAAGCCAGGATCTCATCAGTGGCGCTTCGTCAATATTCATCATCATCATCAGCCATTGTCTATCCACTGCTGGACGAAGGCCTCCACACGCGGTCGCCATCCGTCACGGCCCACTTGCTGGCACCGTGTCACCCGCTGCACGCGGAACTGATTTCATCGCTCCATCTCCGCGGGGGAGCCGTCCTCCTGGGCGCGTTCCTTCCTACGGCAGCTATTCAGCATCCAGTCTCGCCCATCAAGTATCGTCGTCGCTGTGGTTGTTGTTGTTGTTGTTGTTTGTCAACAACAGACCGAGAGAACCCGGTTCACACGCCGCACAAGAACCCGCGCCGCTTCCTCTTCGCCAAGATGCACGTGGGCTGCGCCGACAACCAGGTGCACCAGTTCGTGTGCCACCTGGGCCTCACGCACATGCTGCTCGAGCCCTTCGCCGTGGCGCTGCACAACCACCTGCGGGGAGGACACCCCGTGGGGCAGCTCCTGCGCCCCCACTTCCAGGTGCCTTCGGGGAGGAGTGGGGGGGGTGTGGAGGAGAAGGGGGGGGGTTGGGGAGGAGGGGCTGGGGAGGTGGAGGGGGGGGGGTTGGGGAGGAGGAGGGGGGTTGGGGAGGAGGAGGGGGGTTGGGGAGGAGAAGGGGCTGGGGAGGTGGAGGTGGAGGGGGGGTTGGGGAGGAGGGGGTGGGGTTGGGGAGGAGGAGGGGGGGTTGGGGAGGAGGGGCTGGGGAGGTGGAGGGGGGGTTGGGGAGGTGGAGGGGGGGTTGGGGAGGAGGAGGGGGGTTGGGGAGGTGGAGGGGGGGTTGGGGAGGTGGAGGGGGGGTTGGGAAGGAGGAGGGGGGTTGGGGAGGTGGAGGGGGGGTTGGGGAGGTGGAAGGGGGGGTTGGGAAGGAGGAGGGGGGTTGGGGAGGTGGAGGGGGGGTTGGGGAGGAGGAGGGTAGTTGGGGAGGAGGTGGTGGGGTTGTGGAGGAGAAGGGGGGGGGTTGGGGAGGAGGAGGGGGGTTGGGGAGGAGGGGGGGAGGTGGAGGGGGGGTTGGGGAGGAGGAAGGGGGGTTGGGGAGGAGGGGGGGGGGGTGGATGTGGGCGGCGGGAGTGGAGGCATCGCCGTCAACCCGCTACGCTTTGCTCCGTGTTCTTGTGCAGGGAGTTTGCAGGTCCCACACGGCCCACAGCCGTTTCACTACGGGCTAACAACAAAGCAAGTGTCTGTTTGTGTTTACTCCCTTGTGATGGGACTTTGTAGGGTGAACATTGAGATTTATAAGGGGCACGTGGTGACCAATAAGGTCTGAATTGGTCTATAACGAGGTAGGGCGCTGATAGGGGGTTGACAGCGATGTGTGGAGGGGCGGGGGTGGGGAGTAGAGGGGGTTGGTTAGCCGAGAGAGAGGCGGGTTTGGGGCAGTGCCACTCGCGAGTGACCCGGAGTCTCGCCCTCTGGGCACGTCTCCCTCCCCAGGACACGCTGGGCATCAACCACGTGGCGCGCCACACGCTCATCTCGGGCATGGCGCCGCTCACCGACGCCATGTTCGCTGTGGGCACGGCGGGCGGGCTGAGGATGGTGGCGCGGGAGCTGCGCTCGCTGGGCTTCATGGAGCGCTCCTTCCCCCTGGAGATGGAGCGCCGCGGCTTCGGCGCCGACGGCCTCCACGACTTCTACTACCGCGACGACGCGGCCCGACTCTGGGACGCGCTGGGAGCGTACGCGGCCGCCTTCGTCGGGCGCGCGTACCGGGACGACGCCGCGGTCACGGCCGACTCCGGTGCGAGGAACGCGGCCGCCGTCGGCACCACCACCACCACCACCCTACACCCCCCCCGGCGTCTCGTCGCGATTCGTTTTTGTCGCTCGACTCCGTGGGGGGTTTCGACGTCGGTGCGGTGACAGTCCCGGAGACGTCGCCCCCCCCCCCCCCCCCCCCCCCCCCCCAGCGCCGGGCACCTTGCGCGGTAGTCCGGGAGACAGAGGCGAAAGTCGTCCCTGGACGACGCGAGACGTGGGGAGGGGAGAGGGGCGGGGGCGTTTTGCCGTTCGTGACTTTCTCACTCATCGTCGTCCACACCGCGGGTGGTCACGTGAGCTACCCAGGTGTACACACCTGGGTAGCTGTACACACCTGTGTAGCTACCAGGTGTACACACCTACCCAGGTGTGTCACCTGGGTAGCTACCAGGTGTACACACCTACCCAGGTGTACACACCTGGGTAGCTACCAGGTGTACACACCTACCCAGGTGTGTCACCTGGGTAGCTACCAGGTGTACACACCTACCCAGGTGTGTACACCTGGGTAGCTACCAGGTGTACACACCTACCCATGTGTACACACCTGTGTAGCTACCAGGTGTACACACCTACCCAGGTGTGTCACCTGGGTAACTGCCAGGTGTACACACCTACCCAGGTGTACACACCTGTGTAGCTACCAGGTGTACACACCTACCCAGGTGTACACACCTGGGTAGCTACCAGGTGTACACACCTACCCACGTGTACACACCTGGGTAACTGCCAGGTGTACACACCTACCCAGGTGTACACACCTGGGTAGCTACCAGGTGTACACACCTACCCAGGTGTACACACCTGTGTAGCTACCAGGTGTACACACCTACCCAGGTGTGTCACCTGGGTAGCTACCAGGTGTACACACCTACCCAGGTGTACACACCTGGGTAGCTACCAGGTGTACACACCTACCCAGGTGTGTCACCTGGGTAGCTCACGAACACGATTGCCTCCTCCCGCTCCGCCTCCCCCATCTCATCCTCCTCCGTCTCCTCATCCTCCCGCGCCCCCCCCCCCTCCTGTGGCACAGCCCTGCAGGATTTTGCAGAGGCCGTGGTGGATCCGGACCGTGGCAACGTGCTGGGATTCCCGGCTGCCCTCTGCACCAGAGAGCTGCTGACGGTGAGAAGAGGCAGCCCGGGCCCTCGTGACCTCCACGAGCTCACTCCGTGCCCCTACTGGAAATCTGTGAACAAGAGCTTTATAGCTCATCGGATTACTCCTGCAGCCTAAACAAAGATTCTGGTTGTGAGGCCGCACACAGTCCAGGCTCAGTTAGCGCAAGCGCGCCAACATTCACGCCATGCGGCTCTGAATCTAAACTAAATTATTTTAAACGTACCAGGTGAAGCCCACTGAGCAATGTAGCTCTTTTTCACACGTGGCCTGGCCACGAATGGTCGCTCAAACAAGTAGCTCACCGTCATCGCGTGGAAATGTCCAGCAGGCAAATACTCTGAATGCCTGACGTTGATTGTAAATGTGAAGTGAAAACCCGGAGGACCGGGAGAAAAATCCACGCGACCGCGTGGAGAGAGAGAGACACGCACACTCCAAATATACAGCAGCAGGCATCTTCAGGGTCGGGATGGAACTCACGACCACTTGTAAACCAGGCAAGGTAGTTAACATCGCCTAGCTACCGCGATGATGATGATGATGATAGAGAGACGCACCCTCCAAATATACATCAGCAGGCATCGTCAGGGTCGGGATGGAACCTACGACTACCTGTATACCAGGCGAGGTAGTTCACACCGCTTCGCCACCGTGATGATGATGATGATGATAGAGAGACGCACACTCCAAATATACATCAGCAGGCATCGTCAGGGTCGGGATGGAACCTACGACTATCTGTATACCAAGAGAGGTAGTTCACACCGCTTCGCCACCACGATGATGATAGAGAGACGCACACTCCAAATATACAGCAGCAGGCATCGTCAGGGTTGGGATGGAACCCACGACTACCTGTATAGCAGGCGAGGTAGTTCACATCGCTTCGCCACCGCGGCGTCCCTTGTCCTCCCACCTTACAGGAGTGCCTCACCACCATCATCTTCACGGCCAGCGTGCAGCACTCGGCTCTCAACTACCCGCAGTGGGACTTCTACTCCTACGTGCCCATGCGGTGAGAGACTCCGGGGAGCGCAACGCTCGCACCTCGCTTTCCACTGCGCTGCCAAGCCGTGGCGAGCCAGCCTGGCGCGGCTCAAGAGCCAGCCAGGCCGTGTCTTTTCTTCCCTTTCCACTGCAGAACCTGAGCCGTGCCGCTGACGCCGCGGTGGCTAGGAGATGTTAACTACCTCGCCTGGTATACAGGAGGTCGTGGGTTCGATCCCGACCCTGACGCCTGCTGCTGTGTATCTGGAGTTTGCACGTCTCTCTCCAGTTTTTCCCTCCACATTTAGAAACAGCACGCGTTTAGAGAGTATTTGGCTGCTATAATCCACTTTCGTTGAGCTATCATTTGTGGCCAGGTCACTACTGAAAACGAACTACAGAGCTCAGCGGGACCTTACCTGGTGACGCAACGAGTGGCTGACTTAGCCCCGCCCCCTAGCCCTGCTCCCCCCCCCCAGCCCCGCCCCCCGGCCGCATTCCAATATCTTGTGAGACCTGCAGCCTAGCACGGGTTGTTAACCGGATCGCTATGAAAATGTAGCCAGTGGAAAACCACCCGTACCGCGATGGCCTCCTGCTGGCTCAGCTCGGCTGTGCTAGTGGACGAGTCGTGGCACCGCTGAGATCGCACCGCGCCAATCCGGGATTCGGGCAGCTTCTTGAGTGTGCCGAGACGAAGGTCTCACTCAGCGCGGTTGATCTTAGCAGGACCGTCAGGTGTGATGCCATCAGTGCCGGGGGGGGGGGTGATCTCATTCAGCAGTGGATAGACCCAGACCCACGACGATCGTTACATCTCGAAGCAGCAGTTGAATATGAACCACCAGAGGGAGCGGTGAGTACACGGGGTGAACGCGTGGCGTGAACGCCGCCGCCGCCGTCGCCGCCGCTGCTGCAGCTGCCACGTGCTCGGGGCCGCCACCGAGACGATCCGCATCCAGCCGCCAGCGCTCGCTCGGTCCGTCGCGCACGGGCAGCCAAGGCCACGTGCCTTCTGCAGGGAGCGCTGCGGTCGAAGCGCGCCGCTCGCCACTCCGCGGCCCGGCAAATGCGGCCGGGGCTCGGGCAGGGCGCGCGTCGCGAACACGGACGGTGCCCGTCGGTCGAGCGTCCGAGGCATCGACGGAGTGGCAAGGCGTCCGTCGGGGAGATGGAGCGACGGAATCGGCTCGCGCGCCGGTTCCGGGTTGGACCGTCTCATCGCGGGACTGCGAGGGGTGGCGACGGCCTCGGGGGAGGTGTTCATCCAGCGGTGGATCGAGCACGGCTGCTGTTGACGATGAAAACGAGGGCCGCTTTGTAGGACGTCGACGGGACTCTTCCCGCATCGAGACAAGTCCCTGCCACGGTAATGTGGAATTTTCCACGCCTGGCTCACAAGCAAGGAGCTGGCAACAGAGATGAGTGCCGCCCCATCGCACAACTGAGCAGAGATCCACTTAGCCGTGACCGTTATTGCGATAACCCGGCATGTGATGACCCCACGGCCCCCCCCCCCCACCCCGTGTGGCAATGTGGTACGGCCCGTCGATGAAGTCTGCGTTGACCACAGGCCGGAGCATCTCAAGAAGCTGATGCCGGAGGGGGAGGAGGACATCTCGGAGGAGTTCATCACGAGCGCCCTGCCCGACGTGCGCGGTTGCCTCTTCCAGATCCTCCTCTCTCACATCCTCTCCGTGCCCTCGCTCACCACGCTCAGCCAGGTGAGGACTCACACACCTGGGCACACCCTCACCACACACACCTGGGCACACCCTCACCACACACACACACACCTGGGCACACCCTCACCACACACACCTGGGCACACCCTCACCACACACACCTGGGCACACCCTCACCACACACACCTGGGCACACCCTCACCACACACACCTGGGCACACCCTCACCACACACACCTGGGCACACCCTCACCACACACACACACACACCTGGGCACACCCTCACCACACACACACACCTGGGCACATCCTCACCACACACACCTGGGTACACACCTAGGCACACCCTACACACACACCTAGACACACCCTCACCAACACGCACGTAGACACACCCTCACCCACAGTCACGTGACTCTCGCGCACTCACACATGAGCGTGACCCCACTCCCACCCACTTCTGTCTCACTTCACTGCCCCCCCCCCGCTCTCCCCGCCCCCCTCCCCCCGTGCAGGTGGACGCGATGTCGGCGCTGTACCCGGACGTCCACGCGGATCTGCAGCGGCACCTGCGCCTCATCTCCGTCTCCATCCAGCAGCGGAACCGCCGGCTCGAGGCGGCCGGCGCAACCCCCTACCCCTACCTCGACCCCGCCAAGGTCGCCGCCAGCATTGACATCTGACCCCTCGACCTCCTGATCTCCAGGCGGCGCCGATTTGAAACAAGGACACGCGGCCCCGCTTCCAGGAGGAGGAGGAAGAGAAATCGCGCTCACGCATGGCTCCCGTTGTGTGGGTCACGTGGCTCACGTTGTGTGGGTCACGTGGCTCCTGTTGTGTGGGTCACGTGGCTCACGTTGTGTGGGTCACGTGGCTCACGTTACGTAGGTCACGTGGCTCACGTTGTGTGGGTCACGTGGCTCACGTTGCGTGGGTCACGTCACGTGAGTGCCGTTGTGTGGGTCACATCACGTGGCTCCCGTTGTGTGGGTCCCGTCGCTGCGTGGGTCCCACTGTTGCGCTGTACTTGTGCGCTCCCGCATCTACGCCCCTTGACCTCGCCAACTCGCACTGCCCGGTGTTGGTGAAGCACGGTCGGCATAATCCCCCACAACCGGGGGCGGTGCAAGCGGGGGCCGCTGATCCAGCAGTGGATTGACAAAAGCCGCGATTATTTTGCGCGGTAGTCGGCACGGAGAGCCGGATAACTTCGGCCAGACTCTCCGCCGCGTCGGTCGCAACGAAAGGAAAGGTCTCGGATTGTGAGTCACGACCTCGGAATATCGGGCACGGACGAAGCCCCGTGGGAATTCTCCACTTCTCCTGTCGGTGATCTCACGGTGACGACGCCGGCGAACAAAGATTTAAAAATACACCACGTGCCCTCTGACCTCGTAAAAAAAACCCGCTGGCAAATATCACGAATTACATTTTTTAAGGGGTGGGGGAGAGGTGGGGAAATTAATTCGCATAAAAAAAGTTTTCCCGTAAACTCGGCTCTATTTTTTGTATTGTCCGCAACGCCGATCTGTTTTTACTCACAGTCGAGAATAATAAGAACGGGTCCGAGGGGACGCCGAACGGAGGAGATGGAGCGATCAAATCGGATCTCGTGTGCGCGCGTATCGGGCGGATTGTCAACACCGCAGGATCGCGAGAGATGGACACGGCACGGGGGAGACCGTCATCCAGCAGTGGATCGACCAAGGCCGCCGATGATGATGATGATTTTCATGTATGTAAGCCCCTTGCCGTGGGAACATGGAATTTGCATTGCTGGGTCAGGGCCGCCAGTCCAGATGGGTACGGCCCATTGAGCAGGGAGACACCTCGACTGGTAGTGGGCTAACTCTGTGATTTAGTTCACCTCCGATTAGTACGGTTGGCTACGTACGGTGCGAAATAAGTTCAACGGACGTACATACCATACGTGTACAGTGACATTAATAGCCATGCTGTCCAGGAAGGCCTCGCCAGGTCTCAAGACGAAGTTTTCAGGGGGGGTTCTGTATCGAGAAACGTCTGCGGTCACATTAATGCATGTTGCTGTGTGTGACCGAACCATGCCTAATCATCACCATCATCAGCCATGGTCTGTCCACTGCTGGATGAAGACCTCCCCAACACCATCCCTCACGGACCCTGCAATGCCGCGGTTCCACCTGACGCCTCCCCCGATCCCACGGCTATCTCCTCGCGGCACCACGTGCTTGCGAGACCCGCGAGTACCACAACTCGGATCGCTGTGGTACGCACCCGGCCGCCCGCACCACCAGCCCCGGCCGCAACCTTCCACCGACCCAGAACCACCACCACCACCACCCCCCACCACCACCCACCGCTAGTGTCATCCATGTGTTTCGCGTCAAACAGTGCGTGGTCATTATTCGAATGAAGCGAATCACCTCCCAGTGGAGACGGCAGCCGGCGGGGCAGAGACGCTACCACGGGGGGAGGGGGGGGGACGGTGGGAGGGGAAGGTGAACACCACACTCGGACTGACCGAGTGACCGACTGACCGACCGTCCGACCGACCGACCCGTACTCATCAATGTCCCCCTCGCGCGCCAGTCCCGTCTGGGTCTCGCCTCGGCGGTTCTCCACTGAACGTCGCGCCGAATCGCTCTCCCCTGGCGCCTGCACGTGCCCCACTCCGCCACGACCTGGCCCCCTCACCCCCCCCCCCCCCCCCCGTGTTGGCCCCGTGTCGCGATGACCTCGCGGGGACCCTGGCGGCGTCTCGTGGCGTGCAGGGGGGAGGGTGCCGCCACTGGAAGTGGGGCTTGGTAGGTGAGTGGGGAGGAGGCGGCGCTTTTGTTCTCTTCGTGCGTGTGACGGCAGCGATGATGTTCAGGAGCTTGGTGCCAATGTGGAGGTCTCCTGCTTCTGCTGGTCACGACGACAGGGCTTCAGCAGAGAGAGAGAGACAGAGAGAGAGAGAGACAGAGAGAGAGAGAGACAGAGAGAGAGAGCTGGTGTCGTCTCGCTGTTCCTCCTCCGTTGAAGGAGCAGGAGACCGCAGTGGGTTCACTGCACGGTCCATCGCTTGGGTTGCAGGATCACAATCGCACTGCTGTGGCTTGTGCCTTTACTGTATCTCTATGAGTCTCTATGTATGGCTGTGAGTCTCTATGTAACTCTGTGAGTCTCTATGTAACTCTGCGTTTCTATGTATCTCTTGAGTCTATATATCTCTATGAGTTTTGTGTATCTCTATGAGTCTATATATCTCTATGGGCCTCTGTATCTCTGTGAGTCTCAATGTATCTCTATGAGTCTACAGTATGTGTCTCTGAGTCTCTATCTCTGTGTGTCTCTATGTAACTCTATGAGTCTCTATGTATCTTTATGTATCTCTTGAGTATATGTATCTCTATAAATCTCTGTGTATATCTGTGAGTCTCAATGTAACTCTATGAATTCTATGTATCGCTGTGAGTCTGTATCTCTATTAGTCTCTACGTATCTCTGTGAGTCTCCATGTATCTCTATGAGTCTCTATGTATCTCTCTGTACCTCTGAGTCTCTATGTATCTCTATGAGTCTCTATGTATCTTTGTGAGTCTCTATGTATCTATATGAGTCTCTATGTATCCCTGTGAGTCTCTATGTATCTCTATGAGTCTCTATGTATCTGTGTGAGTCTCTATGTATCTCTATGAGTCGCTATGTATCTGTGTGAGTCTCTATGTATCTCTATGTATCTCTGAGTCTCTTTGTATCTCTATGAGTCTCTATGTATCTCTGTGAGTCTCTATGTATCTCTGTGAGTCTCTATGTATCTCTATGAGTCTCTATGTATCTGTGTGAGTCTCTATGTATCTCTATGAGTCTCTATGTATCTCTCTGGATCTCTGAGTCTCTATGTATCTCTATGAGTCTCTATGTACCTCTGAGTCTCTATGTATCTCTATGAGACTCTATGTATCTTTGTGAGTCTCTATGTATCTATATGAGTCTCTATGTATCCCTGTGAGTCTCTATGTATCTCTGTGAGTCTCTATGTATCTCTATGAGTCTCTATGTATCCCTGTGAGTCTCTATGTATCTCTATGAGTCTCTATGTATCTGTGTGAGTCTCTATGTATATCTATGAGTCTCTATGTATCTGTGTGAGTCTCTGTTTCTCTATGAGCCTCTATGTATCTGTGTGAGTCTCTATGTATCTCTATGAGTCTCTATGTATCTGTGTGAGTCTCTATGTATCTCTATGAGTCTCTATGTATCTGTGTGAGTCTCTATGTATCTCTATGAGTCTCTATGTATCTGTGTGAGTCTCTATGTATCTCTATGAGTCTCTCTGTGCGTTCTGTATGGTCCATATCTTGGGTCGCATGGCCACAATCGGAGTGCTCGGGGTCGAGAGCTGAATCGATTCGCGTCGACTCACGAGTTTAAGAATCGACTAACCCCCCCCCCCTTCACTATGCATTAAACTTTTACGCAAACGATATTAGAATGCCGCATTCGCACGCGTGAATTGGATCAGCACGAAGCCGCCCACCGATAAAGCGAGACGGGGGAAACGTTGCGAAAAGGAAGCCAAGAAAATCCAAAACATCACGGTTCCAAATCACCGCAATCCATCAATGCGACTGTGTGGTGGATGGTGGTGAACACCACCCTCGCCACGATGAACACACTCACACACAGACACACTCACAGTCATACACACAGACACACACAGTCACACACACACAGTCACAGACACACAGGCACACAGAGACAGTCACACACACACAGTCACATACACAGACACACATAGGCACACAGAGACACAGTCACACAGACACAGTCACACACAGGCACACACACACACACAGTCACACACACAGACACACACACAGGCACACAGTCACAGACACACACACAGTCACACACACAGCAACACAGAGACACAGCCACACAAAAAGATCCCCCATATAGCCTTAACAGACTGTAGGGGCAAGTGCTGTTAGCGAGCACCTATGAAGGCCGGAACGGTACACGAGGAGGTGGGTGGCCAGTACCACGCCCGACCGCCTTTGTCTCCCTAGTGACAATGTTTACACACCGCACCAGGTACTCATTTGAGGCTGAGTCGACCTAGGGGAGGCCCGGGACCGGTTCAGATAATCGTCACTGGTGTTGGCCGTGAGCGGGAATCGAACCCGGGTCGCAGGGTTCATAGCGCAGCGCGCTAACCGCTATACTATCGCTCACAGTGTGTGACTGTGTGTCACAGACACACAGTCACACACAGACACACACACAGTCACACACACACAGAGACACACACAGTCACACACACAGGCACACAGAGACACAGTCACACACACACACAGTCACACACACAGCGGTACCGGCACGTGTCGCACCGCTGAGTCTCGAGGGTTCCCATTCAGCAGGGTCCCGCGTTGGGGGATCGGCGTCAATCATCAACGGCGATGATTGACGCCGCCGCTCAGCCTCCCCGTGCCGTGCATCATCATCACCACCATCATCACCATCATCACCACCACCATCACCACCATCATCATCACCATCACCACCACCATCACCACCATCATCATCACCATCATCACCACCACCATCACCACCATCATCACCATCATCATCACCATCATCACCATCACCACCATCATCACCATCATCACCACCATCATCATCATCACCATTATCATCACCATTATCATCACCATTATCGCCATCACCACTATCATCACCACCATTATCATCACCATCATCACCACCATCATCACCACCACCATCATCACCACCATCATCACCATTATCATCACCACCATCATCATCACCATCATCACCATCATCTTCACCATCACCATCATCACCATCATCTTCACCACCACCATCATCATCACCATCATCACCATCATCACCATCATCTTCACCACCATCATCACCACCATCATCACCATCATCATCACCATCATCATCACCATCATCATCACCACCATTATCACCACCATCATCACCACCATTATCATCACCATCATCATCACCATCATCACCACCATTATCATCACCACCATCATCACCATCATCACCATCATCATCACCATCATCACCATCATTTTCACCACCACCATCATCACCATCATCTTCACCACCACCACCATCATCACCATCGTCATCACCACCATCATCATCAGCATCACCATCATCACCATCACCACCATCACCACCATCATCATCATCACCACCCCCATCACCATCATCATCTCAGGGCGCCAGACACAGGATGGTGGCATTCGAGGGAATTACTCGGTTAGGGAAGCGATTTCAGGCCCAAGGCGAGGCACGCGACACTTGCAGAGCGCTGCCCAGGATCCCCCTCCAACACGGGGGTGGGGGGGGGGGGGGGCTCCGGCTGCCGTGGTCTAACGCATCGACTCGGAGGACGCGCGGTGTTGGAATTCGTGAGCGGCTCGGAGTGGTGCCACCTTGTGGGTGAGCCTCTTGAGCAGTGCCGGACTACCCTCGTAGCTAAAGTAGCTACACACATGTCGCTACGGGCCCCGTGCTAAACGCTTTCAAACTATCAATTCCGGTTCAGTGATTCTGCACTTGCTCTACTACTATAGCACTATACCGCCTTCAACTTTTATGAACGACCGGGTGTTTAAGGTTAGCGATTTGTCGTATTATCTGGCTGTATAGCAAATGAAAAAATAAAATTACTTTACTATGCAAGTAAAAATGTTATGTTTTAAAGTTAAGTGTTTTTTTTTTATTTAGGGCCCCTTTATAGCATCATGCTAGAGGCCCCCGCACTCACTTAACCCGGCACTGCTCTTGAGATCTCGACAGCCACTGAAGTCGAAGTCTGCGCAGGAGGGGGCTGCGCTTCGGCCGTCAGCCCTGGACACGGGGGGCTTGAAGGCCGCCCCATACCACTTGGGTCGTGGGGGTTCTTTGACCAAAACTTCAGCACACGCGTCAGCGTGGAACGGTGAAGGAGGTCTGGTGGCAGGGGGGGGCAGTACCGTGGACTGGTGGAGCAGTGGCACAGGAGGTGTCGGCGCTTCATCCAGCAGTGGATTGACCATGGCTGGTGATCACGACAACGACGACGCTGATTATTATAAACGACGAATGCTGACAATTCATTGAATCCCAAGCCACTGGTTTGGGGGAGGGTGGTGCTGATGCTGCCGGAGTAGGGAGGATGGGAGTAGGGGGGGGGGGGGGGGGCGCTGACCTCCAGCGAGCCGGGCAAGTGGAGCGAGGCTGGGGGGGGCCGCGCCACGTGGGGGGGGGGGGGGTGGCGAGGGGGCCCCATTGTTTGGGTTGGCACTGGCGAACTTTACCTTGGCCACGCCGCTCAGCCCCGCGGTAGAAATTTATACGAACAGGGCAAGGGGGGAGGGGGGCGAAGCGCCTCCCTTTCCTTCCTGCGGGGAGGGGGGAGGGGGATACTCGGGGGGGGGGGGGCGTGCGAAATGCGCGCGATTATTTATTTATGTAACTGTGCGTGAGTGTGTGTGGGTGGGTGAGTGTGTGTGAGTGGGTGAGTGTCTGTGTGGGTGTGAGTGAGTGTGTGTGAGTGTGTGGGTGAGTGTGTGTGAGTGGGTGAGTGTATGTGGGTGAGTGTGGGTGGGTGAGTGTGGGTGAGTGTGGGTGTGTGTGAGTGTGGGTGAGTGTGTGTGAGTGCGTGTGTGGGTGAGTGTCTGTGTGTGGGTGTCTGTGTGTGGGTGAGTGTGTGTGTGTTGGGTGAGTGTGGGTGTGTGTGTGAGTGTGGGTGAGTGTGTGTGAGTGTGGGTGAGTGTCTGTGGGTGGGTGAGTGTGTGTAAGTGTGTGTGAGTGCGTGTGTGGGTGAGTGAGTGTCTGTGTGGAGGTGAGTGTGTGTGTGTTGGGTGATTGTGGGTGGGTGAGTGTGTGTGAGTGTGTGAGTGTGGTGAGTGTGTGTGAGTGTGGGTGAGTGTCTGTGGGTGGGTGAGTGTGAGTGTGTGTAAGTGTGTGTGAGTGCGTGTGTGTGTGTGGGTGAGTGAGTGTCTGTGTGGAGGTGAGTGTGTGTGTGTTGGGTGATTGTGGGTGGGTGAGTGTGTGTGAGTGTGGTGAGTGTGTGTGAGTGTGGGTGAGTGTCTGTGGGTGGGTGAGTGTGAGTGTGTATGAGTGTGGGTGCGTGGCGAGCGGTAGTGTAGCGGTTAGCGCTAC